CCCCCCCCCCCCCACCTTCCCCAGTTACAGGCGTGATGAATCAGTCAGCGAGGGCAAGTCTGCTTAATTAGCACAAATTGTATGTCTATAACACTATTTTGTCATCTGGGACAAAGGAAATGACAGGTACGTCATGCTTCCAGATTAGATCTTCACTTAATAGTTTCTTCCTCATTGACGAGAGCTATTGAAAGGACAACAATTGACAAAGGGCCCGGCATGCAGCATCTATATGACTGGCTTGAAAATTTACCGAGTCTTGCCGACGATGTGGTCGAACAATCGGAACAAGTAAAAAATTCTGTCGCATGATTTTGACGTATGGACTAAATGTTTGAGCCCAGAAAAATTAATTTTATAAAATAATTTTTATGGTCGGATTGACTGGGCCCGTCGAAATGCTTGGCACATTACCGTAGTGTATTAAACATGCTTAATTTGAATCTATATGAACTACCACTCTAGTATTTTTTCAAGATTTAAATAACTGCAAAAACGAAGAATAAATCTATCTATAGATTTTGCATAAATAAAATAACATAATAAAGAAAATCCAACTCACCAAACAGGCTATATACCACATCTTATCAGGGCTATATTTGATCCTCATATGCCAGTGGTTAATTTCCTGTAATATACACAGTTTAAGGTAAGTACTGCTAATGTAGTGTTGAGCATGAAAAGGGAACTGTCAACATACTGTTGCATACACAAAGGGGTTCAATATGCTGTTGAGACATATATTGTGCAAAATAGTTTATTCCACTCTTTTTTAAAGGGAAATTGTGATATATATATATATATATATATATATATATATATATATATATATATATATATATATATATATATATATGAAGGCAATAAATAATATATTTTTTTAATCTATTGACATATCATGCTCACAGCTGGTCTTCTCAGTTCTCCTTCTTTTTGAGGTGGGTAGACAATTTCATTCATTCGCTTATAGTATGGTGGATCTTTTGCTTGCTTCATAATAGTCTTCATTTTTGCATGTTGCTGGTTGCTTGTGTGGAAATAACTGGTTTGTAAAACTGAATTCCCAGCTGCTGCTGATCTGTAAGAAAGCAGTAAATTTATATAAAGCCAGTCTGTTTCAAAAAGCCTGCTGGCCCTTAGTTCCTAAAAATACTCTGGTTTGAAAACAAAGAGTGGTCATTCACTGAGGAAATTTCAATAATATATATAATTCAACTTCAATTATTAAACAATATACAAAAATCACTGATCAGTCAGTCCTTTTTAATCAAACTTTCAAACACAGCAAGAAGTTAACACTTCTTGTTTAAAAGTAACTGAATGTGAAATCAGATGCGTGTTGTTAAATTTAAAGTGAAACGTCGACATTCTTCTGTGAATTTTACTTCAAAGGTTGTATTCCCCGTACAATAAAATATTCCAATATTCAAAAGAACTTTTTAAACCTGACGATCGATTTCTCACCTGCTTAGTGCCAAGTGTCTCGAAAATAACGATGTCGCTGGACGAATTCGTGATATTACAGAAGTCATTTTGTAAACAACATATACATCAGTCTAATAAGTTTGTGTAAATTTGGTAAAAGAAAACCAGTTCATGGTCACATCTTGTCGGGAAGGTTACCTGCACTTACGACAATACCATAAAGTACTTGTAAAATTAGTCCAGGGATATCTTAGCTCTAAAATAACTGTTTTGGCAAAATGTGCGTTATGATATTGCGTATAAAATCTTACATATCTCTGCAGAGTCAGTAAAAACCTAAAACATTTCCATTTCAATCAAGAGCATGTTTTGCGACTATCGTTATACGGTAATGCATTCTCACGTTATGCTGCTTAATATCATCAATATTATAAAATGTTTAGTAATATCTATAATGGTAATATATATAATAAATAAATAGATGTTATTTCTACAGATGCACGAAAGAAAAAGAAACTCAAAACACAACTCTATATTTAGATTTTTCAGTTCGCGGAGCTATTAATTGTGTGCGTTCTAGTTATTTGTCTGTTTCCTGTATAAAACATACGAAAAAATTGTCGCTACCGTTACGTGAACAAGTTACTGGTAAGGTCAGTTTTTAAAACAATTTCTAATTGATGTCAATGGCTTTTTTTATTCCACTGAGGTTTATATCTGATGTTCAGTTCTGATATCATTTTATGTATCTACTATCAGTTTTGGGTGTATGTATTATGACGTTTTGAGTTCATCTTCGGTGCAAATTTTAGTAAATATGACTGAGCATTGCAAATTCTGTTGTTGATCCCGAAGAACTAATCGATTGCCTACCACGACAAGGATATGGTCATACGTATCATTTGTAGTGGTTCACCTTTTGATTGAAGTTCTGGCCATTTATATCAACATTATGATAATCTATACATATTTATTTATTTGTTTGTGCTATGTTATAGATACCTGTGCTGTCACTGATTTTACCTTATATGTGAAGGTGTTTATCAATAAAGAATCTGCCTAATCTGGCTGCAACTTTAGTTTACTTTAGCTTGGACCTTACGAGTCGTAACGAGGTTGTCCTGTATTTTGCTCAGTGGCTTATATGTATACATGCTATTAATTGCCAGGAACTTATGGCAGCTAAGACCCGGTAGCACCCTGCGTTACATTATCTTGTAGCACAAAATTCATGCATGGTTAGCACTCCTGTTCACGGTCCCTGATATGAAGCTGTATATAGGAGTGCTAAGGCATGAATTTCGTGCTAAAAATTCCGATGCTAGAAATACGGTCCACATCCTGGGAAAACTGAGACCTCTGCTGCACCTTGTAATGCCCCTGATAAATCATTTGCAATTGAATTTCTCTTTCAGTAGTTCACACACCAGTTTGATTATGTTTTAGTGTCTTGTTCACAGCTGTGTAGCAGTGCTCATACATATCATTCATCAGAAATATCCTATATAGTTTTTAACACAGGCAATTATAAGGCCTTGTGTGTATAAGCTGAAGGCTAAGGCAGTTCTGAATTCAAATTTCAATTACTCAAATTGTCACTTATGTTAAGTGGGCATTGATTATAGAGAAGAAAAGTTCCAAATTAGTGCATATTACTTTTTTTCTTTTCTTACCTCACTTTTCTCACAATTGAAAGAATATAAATCCACTAGAATTATGATTTTATTCAAGAAAAATGATGATTGTATTATTATCACATTTTTTTCTTTTCTTTTTTTTAGACAATTACCACTATCACATTTGGTGATATAAAAGGCAAACCACTATGTCTTAGTAGTTAGTTATCTTGTGTGAATAAAGATGGCAAGAGGCAGGCGTAAGATAGGTTCTTCAAAGAGGAAGACAATAGAGCTGGGAAGGAGGAGGAGTGTAGACATGGGTACACATAACACAGGAAATGGAGATCAGGAAGATGAAACAACCCCAGCAAGAAGGCAGAGTAAAAGATTTAAAAGTGACAGTGAGTCTATCCCTCTAGAGTTTGAAAATTATGATGGTGAAGATAACCTGAACAAACTTTCTTTGGAAATATTGTGCCAAATCCTTAACTACCTTCCTTTCTATGATATGATGAAACTACAGGTGCTGAGCAGGAAGCTGTATAAAGCTGTGTCAATGAACTTGAGACTCACAACTTTTATCGATTTTACTGAAGGGGAGGACCAAGGGTGGCTGCCAGAGAAGTTGACCGATTCAAAGCTCGGCAAACTTTTAGCGCGGTGTCCCGAGTTGATAACGATTAATGGCCTACACCCCAAGCTCTTGGCAAGAAGACGGCAGATGGGTGTCGATGTCCTGTCTGTGCCGGGCATTATCAGTGTTCTTGATAACTGCCCAAATCTCATGTACCTCGAAACGTGTGATATTCGCCTACTTGAAGCTGTTGTGGAATCCATCCCTGGTGTTATTATTGAAAATTTCAAAAATCGCGATGGGTGCTACCCTATCCCTTCATTTAATCGCCTTTCACTGCCCACGAACCCCTCCATTACCTCGTTGCACCTGAGTGGGGTGATCCTCCCAGAGCTGCCCAGTATGGAGTGCCTTCAGTCCCTCTATCTGCAGTGGGTACGTCTGACCAATCCACACCCATTCAAGGACTTTGTGGCACCATCTCTGAGGGTATTTGTCATGCGTAACTGCGCTGGGCCACGCAATGCCTTAAAGTATGTTCCTATGGTAACGAGTTTGGCGGCCGCTCATCAATTGCAAAGACTGGAGCTGGTGAGGGTGCCTTACCTTGGTGAGTATATGAATTGCAGGAATACATTTTGTGGTAATGATGAATCTTGCATAATTTTTAAACATTCTTTGTTTTGACTTTTGCGATATGTAGCATAAATGAGCACCAGAAAAGTGTCAGTTTTAGCTTTTTGAGCAGATTGCTGTGATGAAAACAAACATTGTAAGAATATGACTTCACTATATTGTGAACATCAAGGTTTTTATTTTAAATTCTACCTGCAGGACATCTCATGCAATTCTGAAGTAATTTCAAGTGAAATAAAATAATTGACTTAATCCAGGTAGAAAAAAAAACAGGTGCTGCCATTGCTGTAATTTTATGCATTATATTGAAGATAGACATAAACAAGAACATGCATTTATTTCATTATCGATTGAGTTTATATTTTGCTGTTACAGATGAGGATAATAAGTCATTATAATTTATTTATTAAATCATATTTTATTGCATTGCATGACATAATATATCTATGTCTGAAAAATTTATGTGTAACCACTTTGTAATATTATCAGGTGGCCTAATTCAGCATGTGGTGGAAGACAGTTGGCGTTCCTATGGTTTTAGTAACCTGAAGAAGATTGCTTTTGGCACATGCAAACATGCTTTAGAGGGAGACTTGGGACATCTAGTGATAACTTGTTCAGAAAAGTATGTTTTGGATACTTAAGTAATAAGAAGAAAAAAGACAAAATTTTGAAAAAAAAAAAAAAAAAAAAAAATATATATATATATATATATATATATATATATATATATATATATATATATGTATTTAAAAACATTAATAAAAAATTGAAAAAAAGAATTAAGTAAAATCTTGTAGTGAGATTTTTTGTTCATATTTTATCTGTTAAATGATGCATACTCATTGTATAAAAGAACATGAACGTGTCATTTTTTGAATATGTCAGTATTTATTTTTTAGTTTAGAAGAACTCCTTTTGCAACCCTCTCTGACAAAGGATAGTGTGTTTGCAGCATTGAGCTTAGCAGATGTGGTCTTCCCAAACTTCAAGACTCTGCATTTAGGATTTGTAGATGACTTTCCAGAGCCAGGTACAAAGTTCCACATACTATACACTACTTAATAAAATGTTATGTGCATATTAATAATTAAAAATAATTTTTGGTCTGATAATTATTTCAGGATCTTTATTTTGATAAATAGTATGAAAGTGTTTTGTAATTGTTTGAATGTAATATCTGCTGTTATATCGCCTGCTTCAATTTTTTCGAGGATGTTTTTCTATTAGGGTCATAAATATATAGAGATCAAAACGTTCTTTAACCAGCTGCATAAAATAAATTCATTGATGGCTACTGATTCAATGCTACTGATTGATGGATACTGAAAAAAAAAAAAAAAAAAAAAAAAGTGAAAGAATGATAAATGTCAAAGTAATGAAATGATTATTACAGAAAGAAACCATTAACTGAAATAACAACTGCAAAATAATTTCCATCTTTCATTCCCCAGGGAAATGGACCAATGGGCAACTGGTGGCTCACGGGCTGGCGGATATTACAGAAAACCCGCCAAACATCACAGACCTTGGCCTCCGGACAGCGGGGAGGGTTTTCCCCTCTATGCAATTCCTCACTATATACAACTGTCCACTGCTACAGAATGCTCTGGCTTGGTTTGACTTGGGTTTGTGGGGTTGTTTTGCTACTATTCTGTTCTTCTGTTTTCTTAACAAGTATTTTCTTTATTTTCATTTGTTATTCTAGCAAAATAATAAAACCACCAACAACAAGAACAGATCATGATAATATCATAAATAAAAAAAGGAATAGATGAATAATAAATAGATGAATAAATAAGGGCAATGGGGAGACAGATTTTAAATTTACCATGCCTCTACCCTCAACAAATAAAGTTTAAAAAAATATAAAAATAAGAGATAAAAATAATATAAAAAAAGGACAACAGTAATGAAATTGTAACACCTTCATCCATGTTTAAAGTTGTTTAGGAAAAGTGTTCTTTCTTTCCTTAGCTTCAAGTTCCCTTTAAGTTAATTTTCTTCCCTTTTTAAAAAAAGTTCCTTGATTTCTCTATTCTTTGCATATTGCAGCCTTGGTGCCATGGAACAATCTGAGAGAGCTGTACCTGCGGCGCTGTCACTCTGTGAAGCTGGACAGTTTCTGTAAACTGCTCCCCTTGCTGCAGTCCATTGAGAGTGTCACACTGGAGATGATGTTCAGGGAGCCACCCAAGGGATGCTCAAGGTCAGCATGTGGAGCAAAGATAAATCCTACCTGGTTTAAGTATAAAACATGTCACCAAACAATGAAATTAATTTACTAATGACTAAATAACTGAAGATCACTAGACTACAGTTAAAGGGCAGTTTGCCAGTTTCACAAAATGAATCGAGACCAAAATGATTTCATCAGATGAATAATCAGATGTTAAAGTCTGAATCTGTGTTTGAATGTGTAATTTTGTTTCAGGGTTGGATTGACAGCAGGCACAGGATTGGGTGTTTCTGCAGCCCTTGTGTCTAATCATGACCCAGTTGTTCCACACAATGCAGCCAATCAGAATGTTGCTGTGCCAATGGTACCTCCCAACCCTCCTCCTCCAGCCAATCCAGCTCCTGCTCAACCTGCCAATCAACCTGGTGCTCAGCCATCTGGTCAGTCAGCCAATCCTGATCTTGCTCAACCTGCCAGTCATTCTGTGAGCCAGCCTGTTGATCCGTCATCTGGTCCACCTTCCACCAGTCAGTCTTCTTCTTCTAGTCAGTCTAGTTCTCAGCTGGCCACCCAACCTTCTGCATCAAGTTGTCACGTCGATCATGGTGTTCAAGCAAATGGAGGACTATCAGTGTCAAGTAATGATGAGAACAATGTTGTTTTTCATGACGATGATGATGGCGATGATGTTGGTGATGAAATTTTGTCACCACCTCCTAGTTTTTCAACAGCATCTTCGTCACAGTTGAGTGAAACTGAGAATTGTGAGTTTGATCCCAGAGAGGGAAGTAAGGATCTAGAGCAAGAACCAGTAGACGCAACTAGGCAAAGGGGCATCGATGGTGTTAATGTGGGCACTGGTGAATTGAGGACAAAAATCTCAGAGCCAGTGGCAGGTAAAGGATGTTCTGGCATTGGGGGACTGCACAGTGAAACTTCCAGTAATGAAACTGATGAGTCACTGTCCAGTGATTTACATATCCAAACTGAAAGCGGACCTGTCAGAAACACTTCTGACAGTTGCTCCAAGTGCATTTGCTCACAAAGCAGTAATAAATCCAGTATCTCAAAACCTGAGATGGACAGTAAAGACAGTATTGACACAGAGTCCACTTGCACAGGAAATGTAAGGGCAGATTCTGATGTACTCTACCAAGAAGGTGATACAGACATGATCCAGAATGGTGGAGCTTCTCCACTGCAAGCTCAGAGAGTTGTTCAGTCCAAATCTGCTGTCAATGCTCTGAGTTCTACAGGTCTTGTTAACAAAGAAACAAAGTGGCAGTCTATTACAGCTGAAACTAATGGGGAGAATCCCACACTTGACAATGAACCACCACCAAAGAAATTCAAGCACAGTGATGTCAAACATAGTGGGGGATATGGTGAGAGATCTGTTGCTACGTCGTCTTCGGGTAGGACGCCTTTGGGTGTAGAGACCCTTAAAACGCCCGAATATAAAGGTGACGATGTCACAGTTGAAAATAGTGAAACACATGCTGATGTCAGAGTGAACAAAAAGCAACTGGACAGCGATGAAAATTTTGAATGTTTAAAAACAAATCCCTGCCAAAAAATATCTTTATCATCATCATCATGCAGTAATGGCAATAGGCATGAAGAAAGTGGCAGTGACATGCCAGCAAGTAGAAATGGGAATGATAAGGTGACGCAGAATCTTAGAATGTGCAATAGTCAAGACTTAACCAGTGGTGCTTGTGATGTTGATTCAACAGAATCCAGTAAGGGAAATGACCAAAAAGATAGTGATCAAAACTGTGGAGAGGATCTCCCTGCTCATGTATATTGTGCTTCCTGCGGATCTCCTGCCTCGGTTAAAACCAAAGAAACACACGGGTCTTTGTCTGAGAAAGAGGCAAGTACTCCAAGCAGAAAAGGAAAAAGTCTCATGGGCAGAAAAAAGGGATTGGTTAAAAAATCTGCTTCTTCTAGAGGTGGAGATTCATCTAGTTCAGGCTCTCAGAACAGTTTGTCTTGTGATGTTAATTATGAAAGAGACCATTCTCTAAATTCCAGTCAGGCTGTTTATTCAGATTCAGATGAAAATGTGGAGAAGGGGTTAGCTGAGAATTGTGATAGAGAAATTGAAATAGATTCTGATCAAGTCAGTCAGTCGTGTCAGGCTACCATGAGTGAGATACGTGAGGAGGCAAAGAAGCAAGGTGGACATTCCACAACTGGTTCTACTGTGGGGAAAAGCAGTTTAAATGGTACTACGAACACTCCAATAGGTGGCAGCAGCAATGCTCAGAAATCAAGGCAGTCTTCTTTCCAAAACAAAACATCTTCTTCTCAGTCATCTCCAGGTGAATCCCCAGGTTTCCGTGTATTGAGATCAGGTCGACTGATCAACTGCAATTTTGGCACACAGACGACCTGTCTGCCTTTGGCAACATTTGATGGCTCTTCCTCACCACATAAACAGGAGAACCAATCCAGTGCCAACAACAGCATCGACATCAGTCCAAGCATATCAGCTGACTGCCCGGAACCTGCCCTGCCTCTATTGGTCCGTAACGGTCCCTTGACCAGGTCAGCCGCTGCCCATTTGAGGACACCACTGTGCAGCCGCGGCAGTCAGACTAATATCTCTTACCTGGCTAAAGCTGGGTCCAGGAAAACCATGATGGTGGATCAGTCCACCAGCACCAGTGACCCCGTGCAGGAGGATGACCATGTCCAGGTAACTGTTCAGGGGATTTGAACAAAATTAATGTTTCATATTCCCAGAATAATGTTTGACACGCACAAACATGCATGCACTCTCTCTCTCTCACACACGCACACGCACACGCACACACACACACACATATGCAAACACACTACTGAAGGTGAGTGCACATAGCAAAAAATTAACAAATGGTAAACTGTATAAAGAAATAAAATGAAAATGAAGCTGTAACATGTTTGACAATGTTTAAAATTATTTTTTCCCTATTTATAGATCTTGACTATTAGGTCTGCCACATTGATAAACTTGAACCTGCACAAAGTGGGAATAACTGACCTGCATGTGGCTGACTGTCCCTCTCTCAGCTCTCTTAATGGTAAGTTAATAAACAATATCAAAAACAAACAAACAAAAAAAAAAATTGAAAAACATTTTTGTTTCATTATAGAGATTCCATACGAGAATATTTTGTCTTTTTCCATTATTTATTGACTATTTGAGTTATATTGAAAGGAAACTGGATTTGAAGTTATAATTTGCTTTAAAAATGCAAATAATGTGTGCTTATAATTAAATACCACTCAAGTTTGAGGTAAGCTCAAGTAAAGGGGAAGCACTTTTTAAAATCCTGTTTACAGTTTCATCTAGATCTCATTAAGACTTGTCACAGCAATCATAAATATTTTTCAATGAAAAACTCACTATTTGCAGATCCAATGAAAAGAATTTTTTTTCAATTTAATTTCCAGGATCAGCATGCCGTGTTCTGAAGAATGTGACCATTCAGAAAGCACCTTGCCTCCAACAAGTGAAGTTTGCTCAGTGTAAGAAACTGAACCACAAAAACCTGGTGACTGAGGTGTCCAACATTACCCCTGAAGACCACCGGACCGTCTTTATCAGGCCAATGGTGGAGGTGGGTTATCTTTCTTGTGAAGTTGGTGTAATAGACTCGACATACCTTGTCATTTTGTAACTCCAGTTAAAAATGTTTTATCTCAAAACAATCATATGGCACAAATTTAATTTTGTATAAGCTGAAATGAAGATGAACATTACCTAACTAGAATCAGTGTATTATAATTGGAAGCAAGTTCCTGGTTCCAAAGTGTCTGAGTTATGTAGAGTTGTTTGTTAAGTTTAAACAAAAATCTTTTTTATTTTGTGTTAGAAAATAGATTTAAAAAAAAATATGACAAACTTGTTATCTTGTGGGAGATTTTGTTATTACCACCAGAGAGATTAAGTTTTTGGTTTATTTTGTAGGTATATAAAAATTTCCGTGATTTTTTTTCTTTAAATAAATACTTATAACTATTAATTGTACCACCAGCGTTAGCGCTGGCGGTACACATGGTTTTAGTCCCGTCCGGTCCGTTCCGCCGGCTCCTGCGGCTCCGCCGGCTCCGCCGCCATGTTACCGTTACCGCTTCTCCTCCTAGACGGTATAGGCCCCCATACCCATCTCTTGGATTTAGGTCACCTATAATCTCAACTCGTTCCACGTAAAATTTGGGCTTTGTCGGTACTGGGGTCTAGGTGTGGCACTCATTGCAATGCACCCTTGTCCAAAAATGGCAAAATTAAATGCTAATTATCTACNGATACTTTGGAATACTGTCAGAAAATATCTCAGGGTCCGCTCCTGTTATTGACCATGTTACCTGTTGTGCATGATTAAAATTCAGTGTTGACTGACAGTGCTATTTTAAGCATTATTTATTATTGCATCAAAATTGACAAAATGACCTTTTTTATCTTTATTTTGTTTTTGTCTGTACATTTGACAGCTTTCCTGCCTTGTTCTTTTTTGTCGTGGTCATTTTATCAATATTGCTACACTTACGTCTCAAAATTTTGTGACATATAAAATTATGTATGTCCCCATTTTGTTTATAATTATTAGTATTAAAACTACTTGTAGGTCATCTTTCTAATGGTGCTGATTATGAGTACCTCACTGACTTGGTGTGGTTCCCTGCTCTGGTGGAAGAGGCACTGAAAGTTCAGCCTTCTGGACACAGAGGTAAGACATCTCCATAGATACACAGTCTGTGGTATAAGCCAACAGTCTAAGGCCATTAGTTATGAGGAAATTTTGAAATTTTACGTATTCTGTATTTCTAAGCCATAAATTCTTAAAATATTAAGTACATGCCTATTGGGTAGTAGCAACAAAATTGACAAAGCAGGCTACCTTATAGATCTATTCTATACAGTAAAAACACAACAAAAACTATATATTTTTTAGTTAAAATAGGGTCTTTACAGTAGAAATTTGAGTTTGGACTGTCACAGCTGCAAAGGTTGTACATAGCTGTATATATTTGCCAGTTTCCATGTGTAAACTGATAAAGATGTCTGTACATTTGCCAGCTGATTAAGGTTGTCTCTACATTTGCCAGCTTTAGCTGACTTATTTTTAAAAGAGCTCAGTATGGCTAAAACCCAAGTTAACTGTATTTGTTGTATGGTTTTGTTTCTGTGCTCCAGGTGGGATATATGACCCCGTGGCTGCTGGGCATGTATATAAAAAGGATCAGGATGCTCTAACGACCATACCCAAATATGCCAATGTCGCACACGCAATGTCAGAAGCAGCCGAGGCAGGAACAAAGATGCATGAATACACCTTATCCGTTTATGTGGACATGTGCGATACATCAGGCACACCTGTGTCTGATGTGTATGTGTGACTGTGCACAGGACCTTTTGAAATGTTGGAGAGTATGATGTCACGGACATTTGGACAGATATTTTGGCATACTAGGACTGTGGTATTTTTTTTTAAAGTCTGAAACTCTTGGGCTAAGCTTAAGTGGCCAAACCTTGCTCCCGGCTAGGACGTAGCTAGATCGCAGGGAAGAAATCAAGTAATTGGTGAAGAGTTTCTACGTGCTGTTTGCGTCCTCCAAAAGTTGCACGATGGACGTGCTCCTCACGCACGAACTCCCACGTTTTCCCCATTTTTTTTGGCCGTAGACCACACATAGCAACCCGTACATTCGGTTGGGACCTAGGCTTTAGATAGCCCACTAAACAAATATGACTTTGAAAGCTTCCTAAGGGCTTTTTAGAATGATTTTTCCAATAGTGAATGTAATGGGCACATGTGGATGACTAACAGCTCTGGGAAGAAGGATATTTCTTAAGACAATCACAATTTGACCAAAAGGGTTAGTTAAATGAACACAAAGAGACAAGCAAACCTATACATACTTTATGAAGTGCAACTTAGTCAGCTAAGTATTGGAAAGCTCAGCCTTAAACCCCTAAATCAACTTGAGATTCTTTGAGAAATAAACTTAAGACCCCAAAGATCCAAAGATGGTGAGTACCCTTGGTTTAACGGATCTGTTAGCTACATCTAGGCATACTATTACAATTTACATCATCATCTATTGTGCCATTTTTCTATATGGTCTCTCTGTGTTAAATGTACAAAGTTCCCCTTTTCCTCTGTAAAACCCTATAACAGATAACAAGATGATGATGATCAATAAGGATTTTTAATCCATGTCAGAAGAGCTAGAACTCCTGTGGGGAAGAATCTTACTACTGAAAAACTCGATATGATGCCAAATACAGAAACAGAAATTGTTTGAATATGCTTATATGCATGTGCAATAAAAGCAAAATCTTCCAAGTTTATGATTATACACGTATGTATGTGAGACCATAGTGGAGAAATTATGGTTATGGTTGCAAAAGTAAAGCTGTCATGGATCTGTTGTTTATTTTCATGCATATTTTCCTTTTAGCAAGATAATATTTTTAAAGAACGCTAGATGAAGATGTGTACATTATACAATTGTGTGTGAAGTCAGTGAAACATAATTTATAGTAAACACCTGGTACAGCTTAAAAATGAAGATATTACATTCCAATATTTCACCGTCTCACAAGGCACCCATCCAGAGATGAGGATTTAGTTATGAAATATTGGAATGGTAAGAACGGTAAAGCTGCTGTTTAAAGAATATTTTTATTTTAATTTTGTGTTTGACATGACTGATGAAGTTCCTTGTTTGATCTATGATTATCTATGAATCATTTTCCACAATGATAGAACATCTTCAGAGGTGGTAGTCTATATTAGATATAGAAAAGTGGAATTTCACAATAAAACCCAACTTTATGTAAACCTCGTATAAGACCAAAAGGCATTGAATGAACGATTTATTTTGGCTGATAATTTGATAACTTTTAGCAGAAATGGGGTAGATTCATTTTAGTTTGCACAATTGGTATAAATTTTGTACAGATTTATGCTCTTTTCAATCAATTATTTGAATTAAAGGGATTTTTCAAGTATGTTGTTGTAACCATAGAATGTATGTTATAAACGTTATTTATATTTTCAGAGTTGCCAAATTGACAGTACGCCTATTCAAAATGTGTACAACGATTGCATAGTTGTATTAACAATAGAACAACAGCTATGAGCAGAGGGAGTCCATCCCAAATAATAGGAAGAGCATGCATAGTGTTTGCAGCTCTGTATTTTCACATTATTTTCCATTTACATTGTTTCATTTTCTTATGTCAGTGCGGGTTAAGTCGACCCGAGATCATATATTGTGTCATATATTATGACATATGGAAATTGAAACTTGTAACATATTTAGAAAATGTAATTGTCAAATATTTGGTTGCTTGCAACCTTATGCGGATAAAATGTAGCTAAGATTATATGACTGTAAATTCAATAAAAATATCAAACGATGTATATTAGCGTCTTTTCATGTAGCAAACTTTTTTATTTTAAAAAATTATATCTACCTTTCATATCGGTAAGATAAATGGGCGACCAAAAACAAACAAACAAACAAACAAACAAACGAGGGTGTACACATAGTATGTACACGGAGTAACTACATATCTTGGCTTTCGTCCTAAATACTCCCATAAAATATGACCCAGGTTCTGAGCTATTTCGAAATCTTCCGGTGCACACTCCAGGTACTGGCGCGGGTTCTGGGGCACCTGAACATGTATGTACGCACCTGCGCTCAGCCCTCGTGGCATGAATAACACTAGTTTTGTTATCTGATTGAAAGACCACTTGGCGCTGGAATGACGCATAACAATGCCAGGCGAATGAATAGTGTCACGTGCCGTGCCGTCACGTCTAATTTTAGAAACGGGACTTTATACACGTAACCTGTATTTTTTCAGAGGGTGGCATCAGTTGCGAGGTATTTCTCCTGCATATTCGATTCAGATTGTACAAAAATCAAGCTGTCCGACAGTAGATGTTATAGTGTAATTTGTCCACCAACGGTATTCATGGTGAGTGAAAAGTTTCAATCTTCGGTTACCGTGGACGCGTCCAGTTTACAAGTGGGCTATACGTAGATCAGGCAGCCCAAAGTGAAAGTAACCAGGTGGCAATTTTTAAGTTAAATATGTTGTGAATAGACTAAGCAGTGCTATCACTGTGTTGTAACATTTGGTTTCTGTAGTAGTACTTTTACTGTTATAATTTGTCTGACTTGACACAAGGCTGATTCTGGAGAGAAATATTTGAGTTCTTTTTGGGAATTCGGGGTCATCGATCAAACAGAAACCACTATAAAACACCGGAAACTGCCGAGTGACGTACCGATTTTTCCCGATGTTCTTATGATATTAATAATTATTATTGAGTTGGCCGTACTTGATACGAAGTTCTCGGTCACATTATTGTCAACAAATGTATCTGTAGGACGAATACTCAGTACTTCAGATATCACATAGTATTTACTGTGATAACAATTGAAATCACATTTTCTGGCCGTTGCCGATTAATGATTATCAACTTTGCTGATAAATAAATACTTCAGTGTTTATTTAAGTTATCAAATTATGATAAAGCAACATAAGTAGCGCATTGGTAGCAGATGAACATTTTGTCAGGACAGTCAGTGGAGGGATCAGACTGCCATGTGCAACAGTGGCATAGTTAAGTTGAGAACGTACCAAAAAAAAAAAAAAAAAAAAAA